CACACACACACACACACACAACACACACAACAGTTTTACATTTATTGACATTTTAAAGTTATAAAATGCAACTTTTTAAACATTTATATAACAATCTAATATGCTCTAATTAAACATATTAAGGAGTAAAGACTCCCGGAGCATCCACTGCCACTCAGAGGCTCAGACATGTTTCACTTGAAACCCTCTAACTGTTAGCCCGGCCCACTCAGGAATAAAATGATGGCAGTGTGTCGTCACAAAAGTACAACTGAAGGAGAACCAACAGACTTTCCAAACCCAGAAAAGATTTTCTTATAATACTTTTATTATACCGTAAATAAATAACAAACTGAATCATGTTTGAGCTGCGTAACTGATGAGAAGGAGGGAAGGAGGAGAGGAGGTGAGAAGGGGAGGAGGAGGAGGAGGAGGAGGAGAGGAGGAAAGGAGGGGAGAAGGAGAGGAGGGGAGGAGGAGAAGAGGAAGAGGAGGAAAGGAGGGGTGGAGGGGAGGAGGAGAAGAGTGGAGGAGGAGAGGAGGAAAGAAGGGGAGGAGTGGAGGAGGAGTGGAGGGGAGGAGGAGAGGAGGGAAGGAGGGGTGGAGGGGAGGAGGAGAGGAGGAGGAGGAGGAGAGGAGGAAAGGAGGGAGGAGGAGAAGAGGAGAAGGAGGAGAGGAGGAAAGGAGGGGAGGAGGGTAGTAGGGGAGGAGGGAGGGGAGTCTGAAAGTGGTACATTATACCTTTAAAAGAACACACTGTAGTTAAAACACACCTTTAAAACCAAACATCACCAAATGTTGTTGAGTGTGTGTGTGTGTGTGGTGTGTGTGTGTGTGTGTGTGTGTGTGTGTGTGTGTGTGTGTGTGTGTGTGTGTGTGTGTGTGTGTGCGTGTGCGTGTGTCTGACCTGTCTGTATGTCTTGGCGTAGTCCAGTCCTGTTCCTGCAAGCGGCGCCCCCCACAGGCCCGGAGGACAGGGCTTACAGGTGAACCCTCCCACAGTGTTCACACAGGAGTCAGGAGAGAAACAGGGCTGCAGCTCACACTGACACACACACACACACACACACACACACACACACACACACACACACTGATGTTACTGAGCTGTACTGTTGTCGTTGTTTAAAAACAAAGGTGTTGTTGTTGTTGTTGTTGTTGTTGTTGTTGTTATTGTCACCTCGTTGATGTCGTGGCAATGCGTCCCGTTACCGCTGGTTCCAGGTGGGCAGGGTCCACAGGTGTATCCAGGATAATGCAGACTCTCCATACAGGCCACGCCCTTAAAGCAGGGGTTCGGAGAGCAGCGAGAGCGAGGCTCGTGGAACCCTGCAAAAACACACTCGCACTGTCCTCAATCAGGTCCTCAGAAAGGAACAGCTGTGTATGAAGGAGCAGATCTGTTGACTCACCACAAACCTGACACTCCAGGATGGTGTTTCTGATCAGGGACATCTCCTTTACCTGTCACAGAGATGACATCATCAACACCTCCTTATCTCACCTGTCTGTCTCACCTGTTCTCTGATCTCTCACCTGTTCTCTGATGTCCTGTCTCACCTGTCCTCTGATCTCTCACCTGTTCTCTGATGTCTCACCTGTTCTCTGATCTCTCACCTGTTTTCTGATGTCTCACCTGTTCTCTGATCTCTCACCTGTTCTCTGATCTCTCACCTGTTCTCTGATGTCCTGTCTCACCTGTCCTCTGATCTCTCACCTGTTCTCTGATGTCTCACCTGTTCTCTGATCTCTCACCTGTTCTCTGATCTCTCACCTGTTTTTGATGTCTCACCTGTTCTCTGATCTCTCACCTGTTCTCTGATGTCTCACCTGTTCTCTGATGTCCTTTCTCACCTGTTCTCTGATCTCTTACCTGTCCTCTGATGTCTCACCTGTTCTCTGATCTCTCACCTGTTCTCTGATGTCCTGTCTCACCTGTTCTCTGATGTCCTGTCTCACCTGTCCTCTGATGTCTCACCTGTTCTCTGACATCATGTCTCACCTGTTCTCTGATGTCCTGTCTCACCTGTCCTCTGATGTCTCACCTGTTCTCTGACATCCTGTCTCACCTGTACTCTGATCTCTCACCTGTTCTCTGATGACCTGTCTCACCTGTTCTGATCTCTGACCTGTTCTCTGATGACCTGTCTCACCTGTTCTCTGATGTCTCACCTGTTCTCTGATCTCTCACCTGTTCTCTGATGACCTGTCTCACCTGTTCTCTGACATCATGTCTCACCTGTTCTCTGATGACCTGTCTTACCTGTTCTCTGATGTCTCACCTGTTCTCTGATGTCCTGTCTCACCTGTTCTCTGACGACCTGTCTCACCTGTTCTCTGACGTCCTCTCTCACTTGTCCTCTGATCTCTCACTTGTTCTCTGATGTCCTGTCTCACCTGTCCTCTGATCTCTCACCTGCCCTCTGATCTCTCACCTGTTCTCTGACGTCCTGTCTCACCTGTTCTCTGAGCTCTCATCTGTCCTCTGATGTCTCACCTGTTCTCTGATGTCCTGTCTCACCTGTCCTCTGATCTCTCACCTGTCCTCTGATGTCTCACCTGTTCTCTGATCTCTCACCTGTCCTCTGATGTCTCACCTGTTCTCTGACATCCTGTCTCACCTGTTCTCTGATGTCCTGTCTCACCTGTTCGCTGATGTCCTGTCTCACCTGTTCTCCTATGTCTCACCTGTCCTCTGATGTCTCACCTGTTCTCTGACGTCCTGTCTCACCTGTTCTCTGATGTCCTGTTTCACCTGTACTCCTATGTCTCACCTGTTCTCTGACATCCTGTGTCACCTGTACTCTGATCTCTCACCTGTTCTCTGATGACCTGTCTCACCTGTTCTGATCTCTGACCTGTTCTCTGATGACCTGTCTCACCTGTTCTCTGATGTCTCACCTGTTCTCTGATCTCTCACCTGTTCTCTGATGACCTGTCTCACCTGTTCTCTGATGTCTCACCTGTTCTCTGATGTCCTGTCTCACCTGTTCTCTGACGTCCTCTCTCACTTGTCCTCTGATCTCTCACCTGTTCTCTGATGTCCTGTCTCACCTGTTCTCTCACGACCTGTCTCACCTGTTCTCTGACGTCCTCTCTCACTTGTCCTCTGATCTCTCACCTGTTCTCTGATGTCCTGTCTCACTTGTCCTCTGATCTCTCACCTGCCCTCTGATCGCTCACCTGTTCTCTGACGTCCTGTCTCACCTGTTCTCTGAGCTCTCATCTGTCCTCTGATGTCTCACCTGTCCTCTGATGTCTCACCTGTTCTCTGATGTCCTGTCTCACCTGTTCTCTGATCTCTCACCTGTCCTCTGATGTCTCACCTGTTCTCTGACATCCTGTCTCACCTGTTCTCTGATCTCTCACCTGTCCTCTGATGTCTCACCTGTTCGCTGATGTCCTGTCTCACCTGTTCTCCTATGTCTCACCTGTCCTCTGATGTCTCACCTGTTCTCTGATGTCCTGTCTCACCTGTTCTCTGATGTCCTGTTTCACCTGTACTCCTATGTCTCACCTGTTCTCTGACATCATGTCTCACCTGTTCTCTGATGTCCTGTTTCACCTGTACTCCTATGTCTCACCTGTTCTCTGATGTCCTGTCTCACCTGTTCTCTGATGTCCTGTCTCAGCTCTCCCAGGATTTGGTTGAAAATGATGAGCTGACCAATCAGAGCCTTGGTGTGATCCCCTGACAGGAAGCAGCATGAAGACAGAACAGGTAACTGAGGTGATCATGTGATGATACGGATCAGTTTAAATAAAGATTATTCAAAGTTAAAAACTCACCGAGGATGGAGTTCACCTCCCCGCTCACTGAATGGTGTGACAACGAGAGTTAAACACTTTATAACAACAGGTTTGAGAGACCTGACCCTGAACACAGAACTATAACTGACCCTCACCTGGACACAACTGACTCCGCCCACATCAGCTGCTAGCTTACCTGAGACTGTGAAAGGGGGAGGTATTAAAGGGTTAATATGAGCTGACCTGAGTTATACGCAGACGAGTCTCCCTGGAACGGACAGTCTGTCAGAGCTCCAGCTTTAGCAACACTGCCCCCAAGAGCCAGTCTGAGGGACTCCACTGCTCCCTGAAGGAGAGAGAGGGCATTAATACGTGTGTGTGTGTGTGTGTGTGTGTGTGTGTGTGTGTGTGTGTGTGTGTGTGTGTGTGTGTGTGTTAAACCAATGAGGACAAAAAACTTTAAGAAGAAGACACATTTTTATGAGCAGGTGTGTAGGACCTGTGCAGACAGGTGAACCTGAGGTCTTAACCAATCAGGAGCCTGAACAGGTCTGAAGGTATCTGCTGAATGTTTTCTTTTCGTCCAATATTGAAACAAACACAGACTAAGAGTTTGTGAATGTGAACTAAGAGTCCACTGCACAGCACCTACATTTCACCTTTTGTACATTGTGTGATTTTTGTATTTTATATACATTTTTAAATTCTATTTTATATATTGTAATATCTTCTTTTACTGTATTATTTAAGTTGTTTCTAGTTCTGCTTTATTTCCTTGTTAATTGTTTAGCACCAATACACCAAGTCAAATTCCTTGTATGTGTAAATGAACTTGGCAATAAACCCCGATTCTGATTCTGATTCGTATTTAGTCTCTCATTCAAAAGCCTTGGCTGGTGGATTCATCAGGAAAACTGGAACATTTGAAGATGTAAAAGAAAGATTTGTTTGTAACATGTAACAACTTTAAAAGTTTAACTGTTGGTTTCCTGTCAGTCTGAATCGTCCTGTTCTCTCACCTGCAGGCGTGCGTAGGCCTTCTGTCCATGTCTGATCTCCACCATCTCCGCCTCTCTGGGCAGAGGGACCAATGGCGGCACGCCCTGGCTGGAGTCAACCAATCGGCAGTTGACGTAGAGCTCCAGGTTCATGTGGTCGCGCTGAAGACCTCCGAGCCTCAGGATGATGGAGTGAGCTCGACTGTCTGCCAGCACGGCGTTCTGCAGGTTCACCGTGTGCAGCTTCCCGTCAGCCCGCACGTACCGCACCAGGACTGTGAGGGGGGGGGAGGAGTTAGCTGTGCACCATGAATGGAATCAGAACATTCATGCTGACCCTGTTTATCATAAAGACAAAGATATGATCAGAGCCTGATCTTCAATGAAAGAGTCCCTAACAGAATGACTAATGATCTCTTTGACCCTATCTGTCCCATATTCATCATATTAAGGTCAGAGGTCATCATGTCAGCGAGCAGCTGCAGGTTCAATAATGAACTCTTTCTTTCAAACACACACACACACACACACACACACACACACACACACTTACTACACTGTGTTTAATAAACACTGTGTCAGATTACAGTCATCAGGTCATCAGAGGATGAAGGTCTGTCATTATCATGGTGTGGATGGAGTCAACTATTTCATCCCTCTTTCTCTCCTCCTCTCTCTCCTCACCCTGCTCCTCCTCTCTCTCTCTCTCTCTCTCTCCCTCTCTCCTCACCCTGCTCCTCCTCTCTCTCTCTCTCCCTCTCTCTCCTCACCCTGCTCCTTCTCTCTCTCTCGCTCTCTCTCCTTACCCTGCTCCTCCTCTCGCTCTCTCTCTCTCTCTCTCTCTCTCTCTCTCTATTGGCTCTTCAAGATGTTAACTTACAAACACAGCTCCCTTCTCCTGCTGCGACACGTTCATTTACTCTCCAATAAATAGTTTATTTCACATTCAGGAGGAGACGTCAGAGTTTCCAAACATACCAAACGTGTCAGACTGCGGAGTGAGGGGAGAATATTTCCATTCATAAAAACATGGAGTCTGAGGTTTGAACAGTTCACTGAGTGGAAACATGAGAGACACAGATACTGTCAGACAGTGTGGTTAGAGGGGCGAGAGAGGAGAGAGAGAGAGAGAGAGGAGAGGAGGAGAGGAAGAAGAGGAGCAGGGTGAGGAGTGAGAGAGAGAGAGAGATAGAGAGCAAAGGAAAGAGAGAGAGAAGGAGAGGAGCAGAGAAAAGGAAAGAAGGACAGAAGGAGGAGAGAAGCAGAGGAAAGGAAAGAGGGACAGGAGGAGGAGAGGAGAAGAGGAAAGGAAAGAAGGACAGGAGAAGGAGAGCAGCAGAGGAAAGGAAAGAAGGACAGGAGGTGGAGAGGAGCAGAGGAAAGGAAAGAGGGACAGGAGGAGAGGAGCAGAGGAAAGGAAAGAGGGACAGGAGGAGAGGAGCAGAGGAAAGGAAAGAGGAACAGGAGGGATTGAACCAGGAGACAAACTGGTCACTCAAATGTAAATGAAGTTCTGAGATTTGAACAGGACCCTCCAGGGGGGCGGGGCTTATGTTAAATGTCTCACCTTTATTGATCTTTCCCATGACGGCGACCTCCAGGTACTTCCTGTTGTCCTGTTTGCTGTAAACGCCGAACAGCACGCCGCCCAGCTTCGCCGGCAGCCGGAATGTGGACACCACGTAGACATCACTGAGTGCGCTCAGACCGCCCGACAGCTTCTCCACGGCGGCTACGCTGTGCTTAGAATCCTGAAGACCCAACACGTCGATCACTGAGGAAGAACGGACAGATCGACTTAACGTACGACCAATCAGATTTACAGAAACAGAAACACTTATTTTTTAACAATAAGAACACGTTGGTGATAGTTAGCAGTGTACTGACTGTTACCATGGAAACACGTGATGTTGTGGAAGACACCTGTTGCCATGGTTACACATCAGACTAACCCTAAAGGTGTTGATTAAGTAATTAAAATAATCTTTTTTATTGATCTGATGATCGGTTCTGATGTGGTTCAACCTGCGGTCTGCGGGACCATCTGAGGGTCAGAATCCAGCAGGTATCGGCCTGCTCAGACCTCTGGATCCATCGAGGGACTCCAGTGTAACCAGTTGACCGTTCTGTTTAATAGCAGGCTGAACAGAAACACCACAGAGGAAGACAAACAAGACACTTCCTGTCTGCCTTCCTGGTGCTGATGACATCACGGCGAGGACTCTGTCAGGCCCAGAAAAAGTCGTTTCTAATGTAAGACACTCAAACCAGGACGTGTTGGTGGTTAGTATCTGTTTAGTATTATAAGTGTGGACAAATAACTGGAGGTTACCACAGCAACAAGTTTGATTTTAGAGCAGAAAGAATAAAAGGGAAGGTCATCACAAGGGGACGAGACAGAGGAGACGAAGAAGGAGATGAAGGAGGAGTCAGAGGAGACAGGAGATGAAGGAGGAGACAGAGGAGACAGGAGATGAAGGAGGAGACAGAGGAGATGAAGATAGGGATGAAGGAGATGAAGGAGGAGACAGAAGAGGAGATGAAGGAGGAGACAGAGGAGACGAAGATAGGATGAAGGAAATGAAGGAGGAGACAGAGGAGACGAAGATAGGGATGAAGGAGATGAAGGAGATGAAGGAGGAGACAGAGGAGGAGATGAAGGAGGAGACAGAGGAGACGAAGATAGGGATGGAGGAGAGGAAGGAGAGGAAGGAGGAGACAGAGGAGACGAAGATAGGGAGGAAGGAGATGAAGGAGATGAAGGAGGAGACAGAGGAGACGATGAAGGAGGAAACAGAGGAGATGAGACAAAGAAGGAGATGAAGGAGGAGACAGAGGAGGAGATGAAGGAGGAGACAGAGGAGACGAAGATAGGGATGGAGGAGAGGAAGGAGAGGAAGGAGGAGACAGAGGAGATGAAGATAGGGAGGAAGGAGATGAAGGAGATGAAGGAGATGAAGGAGGAGACAGAGGAGACGATGAAGGAGGAAACAGAGGAGATGAGACAAAGAAGGAGATGAAGGAGGAGACAGAGGAGATGAAGATAGGGATGAAGGAGATGAAGGAGGAGACAGAGGAGATGAAGATAGGGATGAAGGAGATGAAGGAGGAGACAGAGGAGACGAAGATAGAGATGAAGGAGAGGAAGGAGAGGAAGGAGGAGACAGAGGAGACGAAGATAGGGATGAAGGAGATGAAGAAGATGAAGGAGGAGACAGAGGAGACGATGATGGAGATGAAGGAGCAGACAGAGGAGATGAAGATGGAGATGAAGGAGGAGACAGAGGAGATGAAGATAGAGATGAAGGAGATGAAGGAGATGTAGGAGATGAAGGAGGAGACAGAGGAGACGAAGATGGAGATGAGGGAGGAGACAGAGGAGGAGATGAAGGAGGAAACAGAGAAGATGAAGGAGGAGACAGAGGAGACAAAGAAGGAGATGAGGGAGGAGACAGAGGAGACGTAGACAGGGATGAAGGAGATGAAGAAGGAGACAGAGGAGACGAAGAAAGGGATGAAGGAGATGAAGGAAATTAAGGAGGAGACAGAGGAGGAGATGAAGGAGGAGAGAGAGGAGACGAAGATAGGGATGAAGGAGATGAAGGAGGAGACAGAGGAGACGAATATAGGGATGAAGGAGATGAAGGAGATGAAGGAGGAGACAGAGGAGGAGATGAAGGATGAGACAGATGAGACGAAGGTAGAGATGAAGGAGATGAAGGAGATGAAGGAGGAGACAGAGGAGGAGATGAAGGAGGAGACAGAGGAGACGAAGATAGGGATGGAGGAGAGGAAGGAGATGAAGGAGGAGACAGAGGAGATGAAGATAGGGAGGAAGGAGATGAAGGAGATGAAGGAGATGAAGGAGGAGACAGAGGAGACGATGAAGGAGGAAACAGAGGAGATGAGACAAAGAAGAAGATGAGGGAGGAGACAGAGGATGAGATGAAGGAGGAGACAGAGGAGATGAAGATAGAGATGAAGGAGATAAAGGAGATGAAGGAGGAGACAGAGGAGATGAAGATAGAGATGAAGGAGATAAAGTAGATGAGGGAGGAGACAGAGGAGGAGATGAAGGAGGAGACAGAGGAGACGAAGATAGAGATGAAGGAGATGAAGGAGGAGACAGAGGAGACGAAGATAGAGATGAAGGAGATGAAGGAGATGAGGGAG